ATTCTCTTGCCTCAGCCTCCCTCCCAGGTAATTGGGACTACAGGCACTCTTTACCACACCTGACTATTTTTTAGAGACGGGGTCTTGCTCTTGCTCAGGTTGGTTTCAAATTCCTGAGCTCAGGAAATCCACCTGCCTCAACCTCCCAAGTGCTGGGATAGGCCAGATTTTTAAGTCTGGGGATGAAATGAACATGCTGATTAAGTCCCCGGAGAGGGACTGAGATTTTGTGGATTATATGAAGCTTGTATGTTTTGTGAGCCTCTTTTTAAATTTTTATACTTTGGCCTAAGGATCAGTTAATTGGCCCTTTCTATTTTTTTTTAATTTAATTTCTTATTTTTTTGGAGACAGAGTCTCTTTATGTCACCCTCGGTAGAGTGCCATGGCACCACAGCTCACAGCAACCTCAAACTCTTGGGCTTAAGCCATTCTCTTGCCTCAGTCTCCTGAGTAGCTGAGCTGGGACTACAATAGACACAATACCCAGCTATTTTTTGGTTGTAGTTGTCGTTGTTTAGCAGGCCTGGGCTGGGCTTGAACTTGTCACCCTCTGTGTATGTGGCCAGCGCCCTACTCACTGAGCTATGGGCATTAAGCCAATGGGCCCTTTTTAAAAAGTACAAAATTACCTGGACAAATTTAGGTGGAGAACCACAGAAAGCCCAGGCAACTAAAGAACTTCAAAGCTTAACCTCCAGCTTTATGGTAACCCTTTCTCTGCTCTCAGCTCTAGATACAAAGTGCCCCAGTCTGTCCTCCAGGTCTCATCTGTTGGAAAATGAGAAGCTTTCAGCTAATGTGTGACCTTGGACAGGGCCCATTTGGAGTTGGATTCCCTGCAAAGCCCTCCAAAGTGTCTGCCAAGTAACGAAAGATAGTCTTCCATTCCTGGTACTGTTAGCAAATCACAGGACAGACCTATTTTGCCCTCCACAAGGGGGCGCCCAAGACCGACTGGGCTGTGGTTTCAGGTTCTAAGGCAGAAAGGGTCTGGGACCACAACCTCTAGGTCCTCAGGAGTGGGAGTGGAGGTTGAGAGCCCTGAGTCTGTGCCTGAGGTAGGAAGAGTCTGGGGGCTCAACTTCTGAGTTCTAGAGGAGGAGTCTGGGGCTTGGACTCTGGGCCCCTGCAGGGAGTTGGGGGTCTGAGAAAGGAAGGAGGAGTCTGGGAAGGGCACCAGGATTGGTTGGAAGCAGAACTGGCCTGGGCAGTGGTTTGGTTTGGCTTCAGTCCGTGGGAAACAAGTGGACAGAACAGGGATTGTTTCTCTAGGGTTTCCCCCTCCTCATCACCCCCTGTACTTGGCAGCCTTCATTCTTCCCAGGCCCTGGGGACCTGGGGGCATTGCTCACAATTCCTCCCCAGGGCCCTTCTGTTTTCTACTGCACTCATAGCTGCCCAGCCTCAGACCTGGGAAATCTGCTCCAAGAGTGTTGAAACACTGGCTGGGAGTTAATGCCAAGCAGATGAGGGGAAAAACAGGCCATGGCTCCCCAGAGACCAACAGCCCTACCTGTGAGACTAAAGGGCCAAGACCACCCTCTACTCCCTCAGGATGCAGGGGTCAAGGCCTTCAGACCCCCTCTGTCCACACCCTGTGCTTTCTGCCTGCATTTCCCCACTGCCAGATACCCTCTTCCTGCCACTAACTGCCCCACCCTGACCTGGGGCCTAAGTCAGTGCCCTGCCTCTTCCTCCTACTACTTTCCAGGGTCAACAGCCCTACCACACTGCATCGTGATATATAGCCGAACATACTAGCTAGCAAAGGTGGCCACACCCAAGGCCTTGATCTTTTCTTTGCCTGTGTTTCTGAAATTATTTTTTCTATTTGTCTTCTTTTTTTTCTTTCTTTCTTTTTTTTTTTTTTTTT